GTTACCGAGCTGGGTAATGAAACGTTTGCAAGAAAAGAACCAAGCTCAGAGAACCCCAAGGACTCCGCAGACTCTTGAAAGCCTACCAGAGCAAGTCTCCAGATCAACTTATACCTAGCACAATGAAGGCAGAGTTACTCTGGATTTCTTTTGCACACTCCTCCCTCCCTAGACTAAATAATCTTTTCTCTAATAGTCCAACTTCCACTTCGGTGTTCCAAAGTCTGGCAGTCATTCCATCACACTCTGATCTTTGTTTTTCTTTTCCCAATGACATTCAAATATGGCTTCTGCATGCACTGAGCATGCTCAAATGCTCATCATGCTGTTTCTTAAAGGGTGGGCATGTCTCTTTTTGAGTTTTTCTCCACCTATAGCTGTGTGATTTTTTTTTTACTGGCAAAGTAAGGGGCTGAGGGGATTTTCCTCAGCCCAGTTAATTTGAGTTTTTTTTTTTCATAGTGACCAGAAAATAAAGCAGGGATTTCTGAGATACAAAGCTTGTGTTCTATCCCCCAAAAGACAGGGGTGGCTTGAAGAGTGAGTCTGAAATGTTTGAATAAAGTAGATGAAGAGCTCCAAATTTTTTCAGAGGGTTTTTCAAACAGCATGGAGTGCCATGAGTTAATCTTTCTTATTTATTCATTCATTCATTCATTCATTTATGCATGCATGCATGCCTTCAAGTCACTCTGGACTCCTACAAGTCCCTGTAGTTTTCTTGGCAAGATTTTCAGAAATAGTTTGCCCTTCCTTCTTGCTAGGGCTGAGAGAGGGACTGGCCCAAGGTCACTCAGCTGGCTTTGTGCCTAAGGCAGAAATAGAACTCAGGGTCTCCCAGTTTCTAGCCTGGGGCCTTCACCACTACACTAGCCTGGTTCCTGAGCCAATCCTAGGAGAGTGCCAAAAAAAAAGAAAAAAGAAAAAAAAAGCCAATTGATCAGTGCTGTATTCCAGTTACTGGAAGTCCTAATGGAGCAAAAATCCTGTTGTTCCCACTCTGTTCCATGTTAAAAAAAAATAGCGCTACCTTCACATTTCCAGAAGCTATGTATGCCTCTGTCTGGCAGTTTGCAATAAACAAATAAAAGTAAAATCTGAGCGCTTGCTCTAAAACAGTGGAATTTCTTTTTTTTATATATGATTTTTATCGAAACTTCTAAGAAAGAAGATACAAACGAATAAAACGAATATGAAGTGAGAGAGAAAAGAAAACAGAGAAGAAATCAAAGACAGAGCAAAAAGTGCAAGAAAAGGAAAAAAAGTCGAAGGAAAATAGAAACAGAAGAAAAAAGATACAAAGAAGTGGCTTCTGATATTCTTCACAGCGGTTATAATACAATTGACTCTCTTCTTTCTATAATCTATCCTGTCTAATCATCAAAGCCATAAATCACAAGTTCA